ATTCCTGCTTGATTGGTAAACAAGTTTGTTCTGGCTGTAAGCTTGAATCCCATCCAACTTTTTTCTTTACAGAAATGATCTCCCAGCTTCCACTTAGGCCGTCATTTAACATTACTTTCCTTCAGCTATTGATATCTGTCATTGTATAAATGTCACTGTGTTCTTACTTGTCTTCCTATAGTACAATACACTGCTCTACATCCATTCTATTAAATCAAGTGAGATTCATAAAAACTTTGACCAGATGCTGAAATTGCTGGTCAACTCAGTGGGGTATAAACAGGTACCTCGCCTCTTGTGATGGGGGCCATGAAGTGCTTGAAACCACAGGTCCAGAAGGCCTTGCAAAACCTTACCACTCCCTTCCTAATGCTCCTGTGGTTGCACTGAGCCACTCTTACCACGAGGAAAGCCTGGGATGATACCCACCAGTAGAGCACAAGATCCAGTTGAACTTGCATGTGCTGAGTTACTGCAGAAAAACTACACTGTGATGTGACACCCACTTCACTGATATGGCCAGATTATGCCCTAGCTCTTCCCCAGCCGAGGCTCGCAGATTTTTCTTTCCAGAAAAACAAGAAACAAGGAGAGAGAATGGAGGATGTCTGGATTTCATCCTAGACGTAAGTCATGAGTCTGGAGCATGCACGTCCACCTGTGAAATGCTGGGAAGTGATCCTGGGTTTCTGAGTTACTGCTGCTGTGTGTTGCCGGCTACAATATCTACTGAAAACATGCCTGGATTTTAAAAGTAGTAGCCCAGGAAAAGGCTGATATCTTGTTCTCACTATATGAACTTGTCTCAGAGTGAAAAATGGGAAATATGGGTAGAGAAGGGTCATTTGGTACCAATACTGCAGGGCCTGTCTTCGCATTTTAAACATGTTACCTCCGGGAGTTCTCTGGCAACTAGGCAGCAGTTGAAGAACTTAAACTTTAGCCTTAAGCATGAAGGGAGGTAATAGGGCACCTACTTCACTCTTCAGAAGTCAGTCCCAGATGGCAGCCTCCCTCCCAGTCCCCTGGGATAACTATGAGTACAGTGAAGATGTGATCAGGGCATTAGAGGCATCACTGCGCCTTAGGGTAATGGAGCTTGACCATAACAAAAGCAACGTGATTACCTTAGAGCTGGGCAGCTAATACACGGGGAAGAACTAGATGTATTTTAAAATGAAACAGTACCATGTTAAAGAAAAGCATATGACATTAAAAAAAGATTGACTTTAAATCTCTCAATCTTCCATCCTCTGAAGTTTATTAAAGAAAATTGAATCGCAGTGGAGTCTGTACGCTGATCATCCTGCAGTAAATCAAATGTTAGTAACAAAGACTGAAGCTGATCATCTGGTTCATTTTGCCCACTGCTTTGCTATCCCAGGCAATCATGTTATATACACCATTTGACACACTGATCAAGCATCACTTTAAAACTGACCGCATAGCTGTTCCCCTCTTGGTTCTGGAAAGAGGCTCTCCTGGAGCATCACTGCTCAGCAGTAGCAACAGCCTTCTAATTTCCAATTTCCAGTCCTGAGGAGTTTACTTGCCTTTGTTCTTGAACCAAATGTAGTCTCTTGGCTTATAGCAGCTATCTAATCCCCTCCATGATCTACAGTCCTCCACAGAGACACACTGTTCCTTCTTGCAGCCCTTCTCTGCACCTGTTCAAGTTGGCTTTCATCTACATGAGCATAGCTGACCCAAATTGTGCAGAGTATTACTGTATTTATGTTTATACATCCGCAGCTGGTGATTGAGACTAGGAAATATCAATCTCATATCTAGCGTAACTTTTATTCAAACTATTTGTAGCAGTCACATTTATTTCTTATTATTACTGTGAAGTGAAAATGCTCAGTTTCAGATTTGACTGTAGTGTATTTACTGCAGGATAAATAAATAATTCAGTTGGTATTTCTAAAAATATAATTAGTTGATGAGTCAGAGAAGAATTTCATTCTCCTAAATGTTAAGGCTTGAAGATCGGGATTATCATGATCAGTGTGTCTGACCCATGATTCTGTCATGTCTTAGGACTCTGCCTGGTAATTCTTGCGTCAGTTTGTAATTAAACTGGAAGATTGTTCAGACAAGAATGAATAAAGGGCCCAAACCACATTCTTGCAATTTGCTGAATGTTATTTCACACAACGCAAACAAAAGGTACGCCCCACAGACAAGCCTGCATCTGGTGATTCACCATTTTAATTTAAAAAATGAAGACGATTAACATTTACTAATGGGCTAATTTCTGATAACTCAGTGCACATTTTTAGAACTTCATATATAACTGTGAACCATTGTATGTGTGTGTGTGTATAAATATATATTAAGGCAATGAAACATATTTCTATTTATGGGAATCCGAGTCTTACCAAGAACCTGTATCAGCCGTGTGAAAGGTGAGAATAGAAAAGGAGGCAGCTGGGATAAAATGAAAAGGCATAAACTAATCAAACTCCAGACTGCAATAAAAGCTGCCATGAAAGAAGAAACTGAAAAACAAAAATGAACACCACGTAGAGCAAAAGATCAATATTTTATTGGCTGGAAAACAGACCGCTATGTATTTGTTGGTCAGTCATTATCCATATTGATTTTATGCCACTGCAGTCCAGCTCTGGCTTAGCTATGCACACATATTCTTTTTTTTTTTTTTCTTTTCTCTTTTTTTTCATTTTTCTACCTAAAGTAATGGTTGGCTTCAGTATGAATAAAGCCCACTCAAGTCAGCCAAATAACTCTATGCACTTAAGGTCAGAGTCTAACGGAGAATGTACGACTTAAAGACGTGCGAGATGAGGACTAAAACAGTGCTGAGCAGTGCAGAATCTGCCATCCTTAATATCACTGCACCGCTTACAACAGCTTGGTACAGACACTGTAATACGTATCAGGCCATTGTAACATACAGTATGGAAGAAATAAGAAGAGAAATGCTTGTAACTCATCTCTAGATGACCTTTAATAATAGACACTTGAGCACTGAAGCTCAGCAAGCAGATATAACCTTCTCAAAGCCAGCTACCTAGAAACTAATACCTTGTACTACAAGTGAGGACTGCCTAGCTTGCAATGACAACATTATCAATTCTTGACATAATAATGGCAAGTGCATGTGGCACATGGCAAAGTGAATCGAGTATTGGTTCTGAAGAGCTATAGACAAGCAGGCATTTACAAGAAAAGGGGTAGACAGAGCATCAGAGACCTGACAGCATGGAAATGGTAAGGCCATTAACAGTGTTTTGATTGCTGGCAAATAGCTCTGAGAGGAGGAAAGTACAAGATTAAAGGGACAAGTATCAGTGGAGTCTTGTCTCTACTAATAAAAAAATACATTTCATGCATGTATTTGAAGATTTAGTGAAGACAATAGAGACAGAGTCTTAAGGTATATCAGCTATGGGACAGCGTACATCAGCACTACCCAATCTTGGGCAATCCTTACCTGTTACAGTAGCTCAAAATATGGGTTTATTTATGTTCTAAAGCTGTTATGCCTGAAAAACTAAGTACAGTTAACCAATTTTGGGAAAGGACCTACCACTCCATTTTTTTGGTGACTAAAGACTACATTTCTGAGGAGCAATCTCAGTAAGGAGAGTGAAATGACCTTTTTTCCCTTTATCCCGCCCTGGAATGGGCTTCTCTGACTTGGTGTCCCTCTGTGTAAAAGTACCCCCTCCTCCCATTTTCTGCCTGCTTTGTCAGCAGCTTTTTTGCCCAAAGTATGGAGGAAGTTGATATTTACAAGTTATCAATATTATCATCCATATAGACTTTTCACAATCCTCCTCATTTCGTGGGAGATGAAATGTAAATTTTTAAGCTTCTAACAGCAGAGTGCAGTGTGTTACAAGGAGAAACATACTGTAGTTAGATTTAAAATATATATGAATCTTTTCTGCATTATTTTCTTAGCCAGTATGGAGCTGTTTAAATTTTTTTTACAAGCACTTGAGAGCTATGATAGAATTAAACTGCTGTTGGAAAGTTACTTGAATGACTACATAACTGTTATACCTTTTAGATGATTGTCTTACTGCAGAGTAATGAAGTACATGGTTACAGAGCGAGAATAATGCAGCTGTACAGCTCTCCACAGAGCTATGAAGCACAGCCACATTCATGACAAAGGACATCATCCTGCCGAGTGAGGAATCCTTGGCCCACCAGTGAGACAGAGCATTTTGCACAATTGAAGCATTCCCCATGCCACTGGCGCTCTTCAAATGAGATAAATTTGGCACCTCCGAGAGCTGAAAGAGATTATGAGAAAGAAGATGTGAATCCAGTGTTTCTGGACATGGTTCAGAAATGCAACAGATATTGTTTTCTGATGTGTGATCAGGTTGTCATTCATATAGCAAACAAATGAACAAAAATCCATAGTCTGAAATACCCTTTGTTGGCTGAACTGAAAAAAACTTTAAAATTAAATATAGCAAGAAATATTTGAAGCAAAGCCACAGCTCACTTGCTTGTTTTCATATCCCATTATGAACTCTGAACAGAATGGGTTTATCAGAATGTCCATTCAGGTTTGCTGATCTTCCCAACAAACTCTCATGAAAATTATTTCCAATGTGTTGATACATATAGTTTCTATACAACACCTAGTGGTATTTAATTATTTCCACCTAAGTTTCTTCAAGATGGAGTCTTTTGGAAATCACCAGATCATGGAGTTCCTAGCATGAGTATCTGAAATAAAACATTGGTGGGTTTTTTTTTTTGGTTTGTTTTTTTTGTTGTTGTTGTTGTTGTAAAATCATGCCTATTTAATTGGTTATTCATATTTTATAACAACCAGTACTCTTCAACAATCGAGTCCACACATAATAGAATTACAGTGCAGAACATCAGCAAATGCTCTCAGAAAACTTCGGCTATCATAGGCTAGTGACATATATGTCTAATTATAAATCATCTAAGTACACAAGGATGCATGCAATAGAGCTTTGTTGCATTTGGCAACCTTTCTAATTTGACAGATGTGCCTAGACAGCAGGCAGTTAATTTGTGCCCAGTGTGATCAGATTTGCACTTAAACACAAAGCTGAAGAAATTACAGACAAGAGGGACTTCTGTGCACTGTCCTGGGAAGACCCAAAAAGTACTTTTTCATATATTCTTAGGGATGAATTTTAGTGCAGAAAGCACTAAATCAAACAATGGAGGAATGCCTTTCGGCACATAAAATAGCTCCTCAGCAGTCAGGGAACATGTGTGATCAGTATGTTCTAGCAAGACATGTTACATGTGACGTAGAAAGGGTCTCTCCAGTAGTTAACTACCTCGGTCTTCCATTATGATGGGATTGGTTTTAATTCTGTTTTCTAAAGTAAGGGTCTGATTTGAGAGAAGTCTGATGGTTCAACGGTGTCTAGACCCTCCTAGAAGATGAGACTCACCTGTAATAGGTTTCTTGCAAGAAGCACACTTCTTAGCATACAATTTGCTGAAACAGTCTACACAGTATGGATATTCATCTTTGGAAATAAACTTTTGTCCAGACAGTTGGGTTTTACACCCAGCACACACAAAGCATTCTTTATGCCAAGGCTGGTCATGGTAGGTCACTCCCCCAGAAGTTATTACCTAATGTATTGACAAAAAGGACAGAGCAATGAAACAAAAAGGTGTGAGTCTTGAAGGATTATCCAGTCCTTCATAAGTCCTACCACTTGTTTTCACTCTTTACATATGCACAAGAGAAGACACTGTGGTCATGTCAACTTTTTTTCATCTGGAATATCAGCTTGACTAACTGCAGCTGAATGGAACATTGGTTTGTTATTCTCTGTTTTCTGTCATAGGATAACCTCATGGTTTGTAATAAATAGGTTAGTTTGTTATGAAATTTTTCTGTTACACATGCGGATAAAAGCTTAGCATCAGGCATACTCTCAGAAGAGCAATTCTCAGTGATGGACAGTGAATGAGAGAACGAATGCTGAGATTATGGCTAATCTCCAACTGGAACTGTCATTTTGCTGTCTCACAAGTGAAACAGTATTTTAAGTAGGAAGAAAAAGAGACAGTAAAGAAGCAGAAGTGAGACAGAAAGGTGATGTACACTGCCAAAAGAAGAAAAAAAAAAAAGATGTTTATCAGTGTCATCAAACTTCTCATTCCCTGCAACTCACTCACAGCTCTCTACTGATTATTTCTGAAGAGAGAAATTTCCAGTTGCTCTATGGCTTCCATATGTGTGGCAAAGAGCTGGTTTCACAGAAATTGTGAGATACTGTACAGAGAAATTTCTGCAGAGATAAAGATGAGCTATAACATAGTGTCAAGTCACATGCATGACACTGAATGAATGAATGAACAAATTAATATAGTTGAAACATGAGGAGAAAAAGTTGGAGAAACTTAATTAGGTAAAAATAGTGGCACCATCAAATTTCCCTGGGGAATACAGTTTTGGAGAAATAAAGAATAGTACTGGGTGATGTCAGGCAATAAAAAAATTTAGTTTTTTTTTTTTTTAAATCCCCTTAGCATTCCAGTATTGGGCTACTTCTAACTCTCATTTGCTTTTCCATTAAAATCTCAAAATCTCTGGCACAAAACTGAAGACCAGTTTGGCAATTTGATCTCTTTGGGCTCAATTCTTACCTATGAGAACTGATGTGAGTTTAAGTATTAAAATTGGTTTAGCTATTATGTAGGGGGACTCTTTGCATTCCTAGAATTTTTAAGAAGCAAATCCTGATTATTTTACATAAGTGCTGCCAACCTCAATGCTTCTAATAAACATAGAGCAGAATTAATATATTTTCCATGTGATCATTTAATGCAAATTAGATGCCAGATGTAGACACATGGGAATATGTATAAGTTCTTTCTAAAGTTTAACTACTGAAGAAAAAACAGGCAGCAGATTTTTCTTAAAAGCTTTTGTTAGAGGTAGAGGTTTACAGATAAACATTAAATAACTTTAGAAATTATAAGTAAAAAAAAAATTTTGCTTCCAGAGTGATACAGATACTAAAGAATAAATTAAATTCTGCCATAAAAAGCAGCTTAAAACATTTCCCTAGAGAACAGGATCACACTAGAATAGTGTGATACTTTGAGTATCTACATCAATCAGAGACAATTTTAAAACATGAGAAACTGAGGGAGGGATGAATTGATTTATTTGTAATTGGGGAAAAAAAGAAAAACTCATTTGAAATCAAGCTTTCTGGTACCCACAGGGGAAGCATCAGGTATTGAAACAGTAGAACTCTTGACTAGTATTATCACAACTGAATATTGCTTAGTCTGATTATTGCCTGATCCATTTCAAGAGAAAACCAGGAAAGACTGTGAATGCTTTGCTCAGCTTAGGTGGCTTATTATGCATATGAATATAGCTGAAAAATATTGGAAAGGGAAGCATGCTTGTCAAGGCAAAATCAGATATTACAGGAAAGAAGGGTTTTACATAATTTTCAGTGAAATTTCAACCTTTGTTAAAAAGTGCAAACTAAAGAATGCCAAAGTGTTTGTTTTGGTCAATAAATTTATTTCAAATATAATAAGGCTTATATTAATGTTAACTAGAAGGGGACAGCAGACACTGCTGCATTTAGCTTTCAGCATCCAATACCACTACTAATGCTCTTAGTTCACCAGACATTTTATGTAATCCAGCCCCTTCCCCAACGAGCAATATTGTCTCATTAGGGCAATTTTTCCATTGTACATTTAATTACCTTTTTGCAAGAGTAGCAATGGTGAGCAAAATGCTTCTCAAAACAGGGCACGCAGTAATTCTCATTGTCTTTGGTGATAAGTGGTTTTGTTCCCAATGGCTGCCGGCAATACTGGCAAACGAAACAGGATTCATGCCAGGAACTTCCCTTAAATTCCATTTTACGGGAACCTGCAAAAACCCAAAGTGAACAATCCCCCCAGATATAGCCTTGTAACATAAGTTTTAAATGTCAGGAAGACTCTTGTTTTTAATCTTCTATCGCAGTATTGTATTACCCAAGAAAGCACTTATCCTCAATTTAATAGAGTTTCTAAGTATGTACTTGAAATTTCAAGAACACATTCAGCGCCATATGATCACCTGGCAGAAGATGTGCCAAGCTGCCTAAGCTGTGATTTTTAGAGTCTGTCCTTACATGAATCTTTTAAGGTTACTTCTCTGTGATACGTTTCAGTTGCTCAGAGTTCCTTTCAGGCCAGCAAACTCAGTGATGATGTCCAGGTACACAGCACTTTTATAAATTGAAGATTAATTTGTTGGATGTTTAGTACATCTATTAATGTCCTGTCTTTTGTCTTCCTTAAACTAAGGCTCCTTCACTTATAAATGCATTATTTATCTTATTCAGCTTAAGCTGGCATTTTTTTTTTTAAATAAATACCTTTTCTGTGATAAAGCCTGTATATGAGGCTTATGAGCTCTGAGTCACTACACTGCCTCTTCTTATACCTCATCATTTCTGTCCTAGATCAACAGGTTTTTTTATCATGCTTAACTAGATGCTTTTGATGCAGCACAAGGACAGATGTAATCCCAAAAGAAAATCGCTCAGTTAAATGTCTGCCAGAGTTTCAGAGCTCTTAGCTCTGTGTACAGGTACCCTGTACACCTTAATGTAGATGTGTAAGTCTAAGATATGCACATATATATGTACCTGAGAATGATTTTTCCAGTGACCCTCCGTCATAACTTTCTCCCCTGCTGGTAGCATAAGACTGCAAAGAGAGGTGCCAGGTACTTCACCATCCTTTCCACAGAAAGAAAATTGCTGATATAACTGATTAATCCCACAATCCCTGCCTCCTGGACGGTGGGGCTAGTGGAGAGAGAAACTACTGGTTGTAGTTTCTTTCTGTTTCTGTAGTTTCTCTCTGTTTCTCTCTGTTCTCTCTCTCTTATGCTGTAACATAAAATGCTTGCCGCTTCCTCCCAGTGATCAGAAGGCTGACTTCACTATCTTTGCCTACGGGGTCTTTTCAACACAGAGCCAGCAAGCTGATGACAAAGAAGTTAATGATTTAGAAACTGGTTGGTATCCCCACGCCATTGCAGTTCTCTGTTTGCACTGTTACTCCTACCCTTGGCACTTGCTGCAAGGATTTACTCTCCCAGACTCTGGGGCAAAATCTGCAAGGCGGATATACACCAGAGGATAATAATGCAAACCCCACTATATTCTGGTGCTATTCTCATCACATCTAGTAAGGCGTGTCTATTAGACAACATTTTTTAAACTACATCAAATCTAAACAGTATATCATCCTTAAACTGAACACAACTATATTGCTGCAACATTTATTTCCACTAATACAGCTTTTACCTGTAATGAAAAGGAAATAAACTGTAAAAGTACCTAGTTGCATCAATACTACTATTGAGAAGGATCACAGGTCAGCAGGAGAGCACCTGAAGAGCAGCACAAAGGAATTCCAGCCACTCCAGCCAGTAAATCAGCTTCATCGGGGCCCAGCTTCAACACCTCTATGCAAACGCATGTAGCATGGCCAATAAACAAGAGTTAGAGATGTGTGCACACCTGCAGGGCTATGAGCTTATTGGCATCACGGGGATGGGATGGGATGGGATGGCTCCTATGACTGGAGTGCTGGAACGGAAGGATACAGGCTCTTTAAGAAGAACAGGCAGGGCAGATGAGGAGTGGGTGTCACCCTCTATGTCAATGACCAACTGCAGGGAACGCAACCCCACCAGGGAAGGGATGAG